TAGGTTTGTCAGCCACAGATTTATCAGAGCGCCTTAAGGGTAAACTCTGTCCTTTCCTCTTATTAGGAAGGTGCCGGTTTTAGAGAAAGCATACCGCTTGCCTGTGATAAACAGCTGCACCATCGAGGGCATTTTAAACAAGTGCTTTTAGTGCACTGAACAGCCACAAAGAGATTAGGAAGACAAACTGCTCCTCATTCACGTTGGAATCCGAAAGGTTGTAGCTGTTTTAGAATTACAGCGGCAGGGAATTCAGTGTTACCGTAGGGGCACATTAGCACTGAAAAACTAAGTGCAGACGATGAGATGACGTAAGTGAATGATATGCAATGATACAGCCCCCCAAAATATAGCATATTTATACACAAAAACAACTGAGACAGATGGCTGGCAAGCGATTTTCCCTGTGGCATTTCGACTTGTCCGTTCAGTGCTTGTATTTGGGTCATTTGCTAGGATAAACCCCATGTGACAGGCTCAGTGGAGGTAAGGCAAAGTGGTCCATACGCACTTAGCCTAATTTTAATTTTAATTTACTGTTAAGAGATGTACTTGTTCAACTAGCAAAAATAACCTTTTCCACATAGATTTGATTATATAGTCAAAAAGGAGCTAGAAAATAAAATGTCACATAAAATAGTTCATAAGCTATAAATTGTACCTGCTGGCCTTTTTTTCAGTATATGATCAACTGGGAAGGAGATGAGAATAAAATAAACTCTTGTACACACTGGCTTCTTTCAATAAAGACCTAAAGAGACGACCTTTGATACAAAGCAAACGTCTCCCTTATTTACTTTGATTTTATAATAATTCTTTCTAAACATGCTTTTACTAAATACCAGACATACCTTCAATGGTTGAACATACTAGAATTTTAAGATAAGAATTCCTGGATTGGTCCAAGGTGAGTCTATTAGACCTTTTTAGAGAGAAGTTTGAGGGACTGAGCATTTCACAAGGGATTCTTACACCAGGTCAAAAACCGAAACTGACAATAACACTGAAAGACCAAGTAGAAGGTCTAGTTGAGTATCTTTAGGGGAACACACACACACACACACACACACACACACACAGGTTTTGTTTTTTTTTAACTTGTCAGTATACCTTAAATCCTCCCTCCATTCCTTCATTTTAAATACTGTTAATCAAAATCTTTATGACTTTAAGGAAAGAAATCTTAACAAAGGTTTCTGTAAAAGCTGAGATTTACATTTATATCTGAACAAGTAACTGAACTAGAAATGTGCTACTGAAAGTTTGCGGTAGTTTTGATTCAAGAGCAGAAATTCCTGCTGTGGAGTTCATTCTCCAAGTTTCACACAATCACTGCATCTCAATAACTAAGAAATCTAAAGGTAATGTTAATGGTCATGGTTGGATTTAACAACTGCAGAATGGGCAATAAGGAAAAAACTTTCCAAAGCAACCACAAACCCATTTCCCACTTTCAAAAATTCAAATTGTCTTTTTTTTTAATAACCAATGCATTATTTTACTCACATGAGAATAAAGAGATGTATTCATTGCATTATCTTCTTATTCACTCATTATCTATCGTAAGTGGCATGCCGTCAATTAGATGACATGTTCAAAATGAAATCAGACTAGAAAACAGTATTTACAGTTTACTTTTGTTGCTTTAAAGTAAACTGACTCCTCTTTCGGTATTATCTCTGTGCAAAACATAACTTTTAAAGAGGATGAAGGGAAAAGGATGCGATGGTTATCCTCAACAAATATGTAAGAGAGCAGAGAATTCAGGGTCAGCAAATTTTTTCCACTGACCTCAACATCAAATTTCTCCAGAAAATGAAAGGGTCCTTCAAGAAGTCGCAGGCAACATGACTTAAAATTTGGCAAAGACAGCATATTTATAATTCCAATTCTACTCCAACCACAATTTAAGATTCAATACAGTCATTACCAGATTGAAGGCAGGGGATGAAGCTGAAACCGTATATGCTTTTTCATTAGATATGGTGAATTTGACTCTTTTACCGTTTGTTTCATCACACCATAGCCATATTGTTAAGTTTAGCACAGGAACACTTGTAAAATAGTAAATTTTACCGTAGGGAAATTGATTTTGCTCTAAGAAATTTTCAGATTACCCCTTAATCTCAACCAAGCTACAGCAAACGCTGAAAGTAATTATACATATAGTTCATAAAGTAAACTTGATCACTGTATTTAAAAGAAATGATAACTTTGAGAAGTACCACAGCAATAATGTTTAAGCTGAAGCAATAGAAAGCCCTCCTACAGTAAATGTCAGATTATTCAGGGAAAATGCAGTCTTGACTTAGTTAAGCAAGTCAAGCGTAAGAGCCATCTCCCTCCTCGAGCTGCTGCCCTTTCCCTTCTAGCACTGCCCTCTCCCTCCAGACCCACATTTCACAAAAGGTTTGTTTGGGGGGTGGGGGGAGGCGGGGAGCAGAATCCACATCCGCAGCTTAAAATTTTACTCTTGGGTCTTTGTCATCTGAAATGGAGTAGTGGAAATAAACAGGTTATCATCCTCCTAAAGTTTCCACTTGACTCCCCAGCTCTTTCCCCCTTTCTCCCACCAGTGAGGTAGAACATCTGTCTCGAAAGACACCACTTACAGTGCACCTTGGCACTGAATCACCTGAACATGCTATGCAGACCCCAAACAAGCTCCATGCTCCCATTAGTACACATTTCATAATTTCTAGGATACATAAAAAACAAGTTTGGTACCTGTAAGATTTCATACTCTTCAGAGTGGGTGACTACAGATGCAGTTCTGCTACTAAGAAAATTCGAGTCAAATACACTCTTCAAATTGTAGCTAAGTATAATTTATATTTACAGGCCTTCAACATCACATCGGTGTACAATGTCTATGTATCATATACTGAGTATGCCAGCCATTAGATGATATGGTCAAATCATCACATTAAATTCATCTACGTAGGTAGGTGTAAGTCAGAAATTTGGCACTCCATTCAATCTATATAGCAGGTAAAGAACTTATGACAGTTGCCCACCCCCACCCCCGCAGCATTCAAAGCACAACTGACTTACCCCACACTCACACCACTCTGCCCAAGTTACAAAGTCCCAACACTTCTGATAATAAAAGAACAGAGTAAGCATTAAATCTATAGAGAAAATGTACATGCAAATTTAGTTTACTTCCAGCCTTAATCTGAATAGCTTTTTCTGACATGTATTTTTTTAAAGAAGGGACAACAATAAAGAAAAGCTATACCAGAAATGCTTGATTTAGCACAATGTTCTACAATAGTTACAGTATTACAGTAAATTCCTTTTTTCTTATAAGCTCTAAATTACTGGTTTAAATTCTTACTTTTCAAACTGTCTCCAGCAGAACCAGTAACTGCCCAGACTCTTCCCTGAGCTCACTTTAGTGAAAAGTCATCTGTCTTTGGAAGCATGAGCTTTTCCTGCCAATGCTCAAGAAATAGCAGGTGCACAGTAACACAAAATTGGAGGGAACAGAAGCAGCTTACCTCACCCTTACACACAGACCATTTATTTCTCAGAACATGTAGCACAGCTGCTGAAATCTGCATACTGCTTACAAGTTGAGAAAAAGTTTATGTCTAACAGTGACTTCCTATCAACTAGTCTCTGATAGACACTACATAAAATGCATTAAGAAGGGTTTGCTGGATGTTTTTGTACCTATGATCGGGGGATTTCATAAGAGACAAGACATGGGGTTGTGAACCAAGATTCGCTGACTTAAGGCATACATGCATGAACATGCTTTTAGCCGGACAGTGTGCACATCAGAGAATACAGAATATGGGTAATTACCCCCGGGAACAGATTCTGCCTTCATCTCCCCTCACTGTCAACCACTTTGCTTAAGTTCACTCACTGCCTTGCCCTGACCCTGGGGAACCATTCACTTTCCAGAGTCCAGAGAGGCTGCTGAAAAGCTGTCAAAGTAAATCTGTGCTCACTTTTTGGATGGTTTAATTTCAATGGAGCATGAAACACCCCAGGACGGTTAATAAGTTAAGCCAGGCGTGCTGGTCTCCCTAATATATTTTAATTATGCATCTGTTTTAATTGTAATCAGATTAAGTCACCGGAAAAGCACAAACTGTAATTTTCCCTAATGGCTATTGGAACTTTTCATCAGTTTCTAAACATTAACAACGTTTAAAAAATAAGTAGAGAGACACGAGCACAACTGTGCCATTTTCCAGAAATCGATGCAGTTTCTTTGACAACACAGCTCAGGTCTCATTAGCCACCCAAACTAACCCAAGTGCAAAGACAGCTTCAGTCTCTAGGGGCATCTTCTTCCCCAATTAGCACAAGAGAATCGCTAACGTCTAGTGTAAAACTCCCATACAGAAAGGGAAGCTCAGGCTTTTACAGAGTGCCACTCCATCGACTGGTGAGGGAGGCGGGGGAGCGGGAGAGAGGAGCAGCACCGATCTCCTTCCTGGCTTAAAGTAAAGTGCACCATACGTCAAAAGGGAAAGTTGAAGCAGAGTGCGATGTCTCCACTATTTTGGCAACTGTCAAACGTGTTTTAACCTCGGGAAATAAAAGTGTCCCATCAATAAAAGGAAACGCTACGGGGAAGATCTATTAGGGGGCGGGGAGCGGCTTCCTTCCAGTCCAGACGTAAAATCGCTCAATGTGCTTTTGTTGTACCAAGGAATACCTAAGACTTTTTAAAAATAAGCTCATTATACAGTTTCCCAAATTGCTGTGATTTCCGCTAAGAAACTTAAGCGTCTGCCAAGAGCCGAGAAGGAAGGGGAAGGAACCTGCCGCAAACTAGGAACACAAACTCCCTCAGTCCTCCTAGTGCGTCCGCGTCACCGGTGTTTGCTTCAGGTGTTGATGTTTACGCGTCTCCTAAACCTTCAGGTGCTAGACTAGTTCCTCCAAGACGAGGCTTAAAGCGGGAAGCTTCAGAGCCACCGCGGAGTCCCCAAGCAGCCCGTGACCCCTTCTTCTCACCCCCTTACCTGTCATCATAGCAGAAATCCGCACTCAGGGTGTTGAGATACAAGGCGAGCCCCAGAGCGCTGCTCACCAACTCTGCAATCATCTCTCCACCTCCTTTCCTCCGGCTGGGCTCTCAGAGCAAGGGTAGCAGCGGCAACAAAAAACAGAAGCATCAATCCCCACCTTCCGTCGCCTTCTCCTCCCAGCTTCACTTTTCCCTCGCTTCTCTACCCTCCTTTCCTTTCTCAGGTCCTTCCAATCCACTACTCTCCTCTTCCTCCTCGTGCCCGTCTCCGCAGCTCCTGCGTCCTTCCCGGGTGCGGGCTCACACGGCGCTCCCCATGCCCAGCACCGAAGAGCGGCGAGCGGCGTTCGGGCTCCGCGCCCCCCGGCGGATGCACAGGGCTGGTCCTTAGCGCAGCTCGTGCCGCCACCCTAACCCATGGCAGTGAGGGGCACCCTAGGTGAGGAGTGGGACTCAGAGGAGGTGGAAGAGTGCCGGATGGGGGCAGAGGGACCGGACCGAGCCGGGCTCTGGGACCAGCTGGAGGAAGAGAGAGAAAGAAGGGCGGGTGGGAGGGACGAGGCGAGCCGCCTCGCCTCGCCGCCTCCCGGGCGCACGGCTCCCGTGACGCTCGGGCGGACTCCGGCCGCCACAGCAGCTGCAGCTCATCCACTCTTTACTACCTCCCTCCCGGCCCCAGCCCCTTCTCCAGTGAAGTGAGAAGCGGTGGCTGGAGACTCTAGAAGCTCCCGCGTGGGGTTCTCGGCGCTGCCCCCGCGCCTGCGTAGCCAACCCTCCATCCCGGGTTCGCCCAGCCCCTTTCTCCACCCAGGCCCGCCCCTACGGTCCCTCCCACACTACCCCCTGGGTTGGAGGCTCCTCCCACCCTCCACGGGGCTGGAGGCTCCTCCCAACCACTTCCTGCCCTCCCCTTGTTTCTTTCACCTTCGATTTCACTCTGGGAAGCCCCTGGGACCCAAGGGCTACGGCTGGAAGGCAGCCCAAAGGGGTAGCTGGAATGCGCCCTGGGCGGGGGAGCTGCAGGAGAAACGAGACCGAGGAGGATGCGGTCGCTCTCCCCGCTTCTGCCGGGCGGCGTCTGGCACCGGCTGGATCTCAACCCCGACACTGTGTGTGCCAGGCGCTGCCAGGCGTAAGTCCGGTCAGCTGGAGAGACTTCTGGGGACCGGGAGGGGAAGAACAGGTTTGACGAGTGCTACAGTCTTGGTTGCCACAAATATACATGCGACCTGTCACACACCCTCTTGCGTGAGTCAAAATGCAGTGGGAGTAGGGGAATTGGAGAGCTTGAGGGGCATCTTAGGAGGCAGAGATTTCAGCTCTGAGCCTACCGTTGCCCCAAATGTCAATGGAAAGACGTGGGGCGGGCGGGGTGGGGGGAGGATGTTCGCGCAATCAGGTTAAAAAGAAAGGATACCAAAAGAGGAAACAAAGATTCGCGCGCACATACATAAACACGCCGCAGGGGCGGGGGCTTTTCGTGGTTTCAAGGGGACTGTCAAACTGACCCCGAGAACACAGAGAAGAGAATACCGGTGCAACCCAGTATAGGCTATCCTTAAACCTAGGAAGGCGGGTAGCTAATGCCCTTTCCTTTACGCCTGGATGCAGGACTGGATGGAAGGCGCCCAACATGATGAAATACGGTGTAGAGGAATGGTCTGTGTAGAACGAGCCCTGGGTACTAAAGTTGCAAAACCAAAGAGGACTGTGGGCTGCCTGCCACACCTCCTCCTGGCTTGGCCCGCTTTCTGGCTGGATGAGTGGCTCCCTAGGACCACGATGAACACTACTGCAGCGCCCTCTGCTGCATGGTAGCCACAATGCATCAAAAACAGACCTGTAGAGCGTTGACGACCCTCAACACCTCTGCCACCACACTCCAAAGGCAGCACCTAACCAGCAAGCTCTCCAAAACAGAGGCAAGAAATTGAGCCCCTTGGATGTCTGGCAGTGGTCTGAACAGCAAATACCATGGTTTGGGTGTCTGCAAAACAAAGTTCCATCTTTTCCTGAATTCACAAGGAAATCTATGTAGACACAAATGAAATGATGAATATTTATTATACCTATTATGCCACCACGATGGACCCATTTATGGGACCTGGGGAAAAACATAAATGCACATAAAAGAGTACTGTATCTTTAAAGGCAGGGACTGATCTTTTATCTTTTTTTTAACCCATAATCTCTGCTCACTGTCAAAATGTTTTTAAAATCATATCAATTGGCCCATCAAGGTCCTCTGTCTCTGTCCCTCCATTGTACTTAAATGTTGATACTACATCCTAGAACACTGGAGGAAGTGCACCCTCTCTAGAATCTGATGCCTGAGTTGGTGTCCCTGCTCTGCAGCTATGAGATTTTTGGCCAATCACTTTACCTCTCTGTGCCTCAGTGTTCTCATCTATAAAACAGTGACGATAATACCTATCTATGGGTACTATTATTATGCAGATAAAAGTAGTTAACATGTGGGAAGCATCTCAAAGGATCCTAAATGCAATAGAGGTGTTAGCTGCTATTATTAACATTATTATTGTTGTTGTTAGTATTATTATTCTCTCCAACTTCCTCCTATCCTTTTAGTTGTTGACTAAAAATATAGATGTTTACTTCCAAAACATATACCATTACATCCACACTGCTCCAGTCCTAGTCCGAGCTACCCATGTTTCCTGTATGGACGAACGCAGAAGACTTCTAAGTGGTCTCCTTCCTTCTCCTGCAATCCCCACCCCCTCTCACCCACAGTCATAATTTCAGGTATTAGACAGAAGATTCTTTGGAAATCCTACAATCTCTCTGCCAAAAAATGTTCAATGACTTCCTGTCGCACATAGACTAAAACTCGAATTCTTAACCATGGCCAGCCAGACCTTCATCTGACCCTGACCGCCTCTCTCCTGAGTCAGTGTGCTCCAGCAAAACAGACATCCTTCTCCCCTGGAATTTACACTTTTCCTCCTCCCTTATGCAATGCTTCTCCCCAGCCCTCCTCCAGTTTGTTCCCAACGTTCAAGTCTTAGTTCGAATGTCATCGCCTCAGGAGGGCTTTCCCAGATTTTATCATGTAGCCCCTCCCTCATCGATCTCTGTCCCATCAGCTGCATTATTTTCTTCGTAGTATGCTTCAGTATTTGCACTCACCAGAATGGCAGCTCCAAGAGGGCAGGGGCCTCCTCAGTCTTGTTTTCTGTGTGATACCTACGTAAACATCTGGGCAGGGAGAAGGGGGAAAGTTGACAATAAAGAAAGAAATGTGCTTCGCAGAAACTGTAAAATAACTGAAAATCCACCAATTTTTATCATGAGAGAATAGGGTAAACTGATTTGTGGTCGACAGTGAAGAATTAACAAAGGAGGGAGGAAGTAGGTTAAAAATTCTTAAGATTGCATCAGCTTTGCAGGAACATGATGGTGAGATGTCCAGACAGCTCTCTTCAATAATGAAGAGGACTGAGAGGCATAAAAGTGTGAGAGGGGTTTGACTTCAGCCTGCTAAAAGCTTGTAAGCACTTTGCAGAGCTGTCTCCATTTTCAAGGCTCCAACAGTTCTAAAGAAGTCTTTGCTAGCCTCCTCCTCCCCCACCTCCTCCTTGTCTCCTCTCCCCACCCCCAACTCCTCTGAATTAGAAGCACAGGGGACTGTGAGAAATGCCACGAAGTGGCACATCTTGCCATCCCTGATGAATGGAAGGCTGAAAATCCAGCTGTGTTTGAGAAATCCAGTTGCTTTTAACAAATTTTCCTACTATAATTTAACGTGGGTCTCACTACTCTTCCAGTGCATTAAGCCTTGGTCTCTTTCAGACTGTTCTCCAAGCAGCCAATGCCTGCATTTTCTCCCTGCCTGGAACAACTTTAGTGTGGGAAAATCAGATTAAAGATGTAAATGTCATCACTATCCTGGGAGATCAATTCAAACCTGAGGGCACTGCTTTTTAATTTATTAAGGTGTACTTACCCATCGGGAGATTGCTGCATGGGTTCTGAATATTTTGTATATATATATATATATTTTTTTAAAGCTATTTAAAGCTACTGTTGCTCTCCACGGATGAAGGAAATTAGGCTGGCTGGCTTGAGTTTTTTACCTCAGACACAAGACTGGCCAAAAAAGTGCTAAGCCCTTATTTTCCCCAAGTAGGTTCCACACATCTGCTACCTCACCACTTCCTCAATGAATTATTTTTTCATAGTCGCCCCTGACCTACCCGGCATTTGTTCTGCATTCCCAGCCCTTTATTGTATAATTCATACCTTTGCAGTGCTAGTCCCTCGGGGTAAAGATTTCCTTATTTGCCTAAGACATTTTTAGTTTATTGTGCAATACCATCTTCCCTTTGGGTGTTGCATAAATATTAACTAAAACTCCACATCTGGTCTTGGTCATCATTTCTATTTGTCCTAATATAACTTCTCTTTGAACAGTTCGTTGGGAAAGTGTGCCAAGGGTGAGATGTGGCACATAAATTCTCCTGCTGCCTAGAATGCCTTTTAAAATGCCCACAGATTTGGTTATTTATTAACAGAAGATTTGCACCTCTTCCTTGCTCTCTCAATTCTAAAATTGTCCCAGGCCAAAGTAATTACGATGGCCCATATGTTTGGTGAAAAGGTATCCAGGAATCTCCTGCTAAAATCTTAACAGATTGACTAGGAAGCAGAAGCATACTAGCCCAGCAGGTGGAACTGCGTGTTTAGGGAGGTCAGAACAGAGCTCTCTGCTGCGGAACTCATAAGTTCTGGGCTTCACTCAGGAAATAACCCTGCGGGAGAAAAAACGGCAGAGCATGGATGAAATGTGGGTCAGGGAGCTGATAGAGGCACCTGGACTGCTTGGTTAACTAGTGACAGTAAAGGCATCGGCTACACAGGTTACCTTTAGATGGTTCCCAGCATCCATTTAAATGCTGCCCTGTGGACACTACAAATGTAACATCGCTTTATCCCCAGACTTGTGATCCATTAGGAATATAATTAGGACAATGCAGCCACAGAAAGAGATCCTGTCACCTGTCACAAACCCAGGGCTATTAAGAACCAACTGCTACTACAACGATGATCATTTTAAGAATCTCGGAAGCTCCCAGCTTCCAATTCAGAGGATGTAGAGATGCAGGAGGGGGAGGAGTGTAGAAATAACATGTTAATAACTAGATATGGATAATTGCAGAGATGTTGAGGCTAATAATAGAATTCAGAAATTCAATCAAGAAAAGCAAAGACAGCCTCCTTCCTAGAATCCCTCTGAATGCATTCCCATGCACTGATATAAACAGTGATCAAAAATATTTGAACAGCTTGAAGAATTGCATTGAATCTTGGGTAACACAGTTTTGATAAATCTCAGATTCTGGGAAATTAACAATAAAGAGTAGAAAGATGATTAGTTTCAATGGGGACATTAGGTAAATTAACCAATTTTTCATGAATGTTGCCTTGACGTTCAGACCAACATGGACCCTTTAAAGCCAGCATTATCCAGTAGAAATTTCTGCAAAGGTGATTTTATATCTGTCCTCCCCAGTGTATTAGCCATCAGCTACACATCACTATTGAGCACTTAAAATACAGCTAGTGGGACTGAAGAACTGAATTTTAAATTGTGTTTAATTTTAATTAATTTTAATTTCAATAGCGACATTGGTTAGTGGCTACCACACTGGACAACGCAATGAATTCACGTCAAAACCAGTTGTCTGCTCCTCGCAGTGGTCAAAGCTTTAGTCCCAAACCTCATGCTCTGATCTGCTCCATACCCACATGCCACCTGTTTTTATTTAAGAAACAGCTACTAGCTGTTGAACACTTTGTAGGCATTAGGCATTTGATTGAGCAAAATCTATATTCATGATTGCATCTAACCCTCACAATCGCCCTGGGAGATAAGAGATAGGTACCATTACGACTATATTTTACAAATAAGGAAATGGAGGCTCAGGAAATTGTCCGTGGTCTTACAGCCTCTAAGTAGTGGACCTAACATTTGAATGTATGTCTTTTAACTCCAAAATTCTACCTTTAACCACTACTCAGTATAGCCTAGTTGCTCCTTCTCCCATTCAAAAGTCCACGTCTGCATTAGGATCTATTTCAGGAAAGAGAATTCCTGGCTGCAGCCAAGGTGCCTTGATTAAATTCATATTCTTCCTCCTCCACTGTCCCTCAGATGATTCAGGATAAAATACTGTGGAAGTCTTTCTTGGTCTACCATTTTTGCCTAAGTTTTCCCAAATATGGCACAGACACCTGCAAAGACTGCACTCTAATCTGCAGTAAAAACTCTCCCTCATAAAATATACACACATACCATATATTTTTAAGAATAAATGTATTCAAAGCAGGCATAGACTTTTTCCTAAGGGAATCCACACCATCTATAAGAAAAATAACTGGGATAAGCATAATGCAAACTCCAACACAATAATGAAAGTATCAATGCAAATTAAAATTTGGAAAACAAATAAAGCATTTATAAAAGTGACTTAATACTATGTTTAAAACCCCACTACAAATTTGCACCTCGTAAAGCCTATTTAATCCAGTTATTATTCCTATTCAATGATTAGAAAGTCTATTTGCAGTTTGGCCTAGTCATCCAATAATAACTGACCAAAAATTAACTCGTTTAGAACTTTTGCAATAGATTTAATTTGCCCATTTGAATGAATGAATATCTTAAAATTTGTGATACTTTATTTAATAATTACAAATGAATGACTTATTTATGGCCTTACATATAGACTTCCACCATCCTATAGTTTTCTTCCCAAATGCTCTTTATCTTCTTCATCTTTTTTTTTCAAGTTGTTTGCAAGATTGGTTCCTTCTTCTTTTTTTTAACATTTTTTATTGATTTATAATCATTTTACAATGTTGTGTCAAATTCCAGTGTTCAGCACAATTTTAAGTCATTCATGGACATATACACACTCATTGTCAC